CAACCGAATTACAAAGGTACAGACAGTGGTGGTAACGCATTCCACAGGACCAGCAGAGCATGGTCTGTGCTGTAACCAGCAGCTTGATGATATGTTTTTGTAGTTAAATATCACAAACATCTGTTGTTGATCTTAAAGGTTCATCCTGAGCTTGGGTTAAACTGAGCCCACAGAGCTGTTGAGGGAGGTAGTGCCTCCTGCTCAGCACCAMCTCACACCATCCCTGCAGATCCCAGCATTCCTCCTCCCCAAATCAGCACCCAGATGTGTGCCAGATGTGCCACTGCTGAGAGCCACCATTGCCCCACCTACCACCCCCACACCATCACCCACAAAGGATGGTTGGCAGAGAGGTTTCTGCTTCAGGTTGGGAATTGTGTTCTGGGCAGCATCCTGATTAATGATGGGTGTTGAATTAGTGACAAATGAGTGAGTGGCACACCTTCCTGTGGGCATCCASTGGTATGTCCCTGTGCCACCTCTGAGCTCTGCTGCCAGGGGAGGCAGGACATCAGTGCCCAGGTGCATTCTGYCCCATGCTTGGTTTTGCCTTGCCACCCATTCTAATTCCACAGGGATAACCACCCATAGCCYTCCATCACTGTGACAGCAGGGCTGCCAACAAATTCCAGACAGGACAGTGCTGATTCAAGGCCAGACAGTGTGAGCAGTGAAGTGTGACCCACACAAATCCCAGCAATGTTTTCACAACCAAGCTCTGCCAGGGCAGGAGGTGGGACTGTCCCCTGGTTTGCTGCAGGAAGGAGCCCCCACAGCCAGCCCACAACTCAGCARGGGCTGCATGGCATCATCCAGGGCTCAGCAAGAACCTGAGTGACAATAAAGCTGCCTGCACTGTCCCTCCTGCCAAGCTGGCAGTGCCACAGCATTGCCACCCTGACATCCCTCCCCACGGCCAGGCTGCACCATGGAGAGGACAAGGATGGCTCCTGCACTCACCCTGGTACAAGGAGCAATTAGAATGTGCAAGCACGTGCAGGGAGCTGCCAGACAGGGAGGTGACAGCCACCACACCATGCCACCACACACACCCTTTGCTCCTAGGAAGACAAGGATACCTGACCTACAATGCCTTGTCCCATTCCCCCAGTGCCCTCCCCAAAGGRCTCTCCAGCTGGCCTGAAGCACTGGGCACATCACTGCTGCTGGATCACCTCGACCATGCCCTGGTCTCATGTGTGCCCTTCCCAGGGCTCAGTGCCACCCCAGCTCATGGCAGCACAGTGACCAAGTGTGCACGGTGACGCTTCAGCCACACGGCCCCGCTCAGCTCCGGCCTCCGAGCCCYGTGACACAGCACAAAACAACCTTCTGACCAAAAAGCAGCAAATACTGCCGTGGTCCCCAAGCTGCTTACAACCAGCAATAGCTCCCACAGCCCTTCCTGCAGGTAGAGGGGGAGCTGGCTGCCTGTGCAGTGCCACCCAGGTGGCTCCATGTCCTGGGTGCTGCAGTCTCACCTGCAGCTCCAGGGTTTGCACCCTCCAGGCCCCCAGCACAGCGAAGTCACACGGCCCCCACATCTGCATCAAATAAAATTAGCTTATATGTTGTTCTTAATACACTAGGAAGGCTTCCACAAGATGTCAGCCTAACTAAATGACAAGGCTCGCCTCAGGGTGCAATTCTACTTTCCCAGCACATGGGTTTAGCAGGAAAACCAGTTGTGCTGCTGCTCCAGGAGTGGGCTAAGTGAGAAGCCCCCAAAAGGGTTATCTGGTCCTGGCAAGCTTATTCCTGCTAATTTCCCTGTCCACGCTACATGTGAGGGTTCAGGCTGCCATAAAGCTCCCGCTGTGGCAGAAGTGCCCAGATGGCATCAGATGTGGCTTTCCTCACCAGGCAATGAGTTTTCAGTCTCAGAAGAAATGCATTTCCRTGAGTTTTCTGGGCGTTTTTTCCCAGCCTATTACACCTTGACACCCCAGGCAGCTCCCAAGGAACAATGTGAATGCTACTGCAGTGTTCTAGACTTAGGAGACTCAGATGCACACTTGTGGCAATAACTGTTATTTCACAKCAAGTGCACATATAAACACACTTTGCTAAGAAAAGTGCTCATAAAGTTCGCGTTAACAGTTTCCTAAACAGGAAACTYGCTGGCAAGGTGCTAAATAGCCCTTGTTTGGTTAAGGGCCAAAGAATGGAAAGGAGCAACTCACCGTCTTTGAACATTAACTCTTAACTCTGTGCCAAATTACACAATCTTACTGTGGGAGGAACCTACCAGCAGATATTGATGCAAAAAAGCAAAACGTTTCCAACGATACCTAATTTCAATCTCCRGATGAGAGCACAAGAGGCAGCACTGGGGAAGGCTAACAGCTGATCTCAAATCATACCCCTCAGAATGCTGTTGTTGCATGTTATGGTAACATATTGAAATGTTATTAGAATTCAAAGCARCACTTCAGATCAGGGTGCAGCACAGAGCTGCTCCAAGGACCGTCCGCAGGTGCTGCGGAGCCGCGGTTCCATYGGACAGCTGGCAGCTGAGCTCTTGGTACACTGAGCATTAAACAAGAAGAAAACTCCTTAAATAGGTTTATGTAATTTCTTTGCATGTATTTCTTTCACCCTGGAGCAAATGTAGAAACATTTACTATGGCAGAGCAATCTAAGAAATTTATCTAACATTTCCTAATTTGCTTGATCATTAAAGACAGTTATTCTCCTGATGGATTCAGGGTAGGGTTTATTTGTTTTGCTTTAGCTTTATGGGGAATTTTTGAGGTTTTCTTCTTGTGTGTTTTTAAAGAGTTCACCATCTCCATCCCATTACTTCCCACTCAGTGCTCCCCTTGCTTGTGTCCATCCCAGAAAGGGAGCAGCAGAGGCAGGGTTACCTTTCCACCTCAGGACAGCCAAGGGAGGTGCAGGCAGGAAACAAGCAGGTCTTAATTTCAGCAAGTACCTCCAAGGAAGCAAAGCAAGGAAGCAACACTTAATGACAAAGGTAAGTGACCATTTTATTTTAAAACCTTCTTTTGACACAATTCATCRTGCTCCATCTATATGTGAAGTTTGTTATTCTCAGCTCATTCCAAATCTCGGAGGTTGGAGGTGATACCTCGCTGCTACACAGCAAACATTTTCAAGTGCCTCCTACTACATTATTGCTTTATATCTCAAGGTGAAAATTTAAAAAAGCTTATCCAAGCTGCCTGGAGTGGGAAACCAACATTCCCACATCGAGTCACAACCAGTGGCTGTGAAGGCGTTACCTGCATATGCATCCTAAAAACCTCTAAAAATGTCAATCCTGCCTGGTCACTYACCTTTCAGTACCAGCTGTCCTGGAGAAGAGGTTGCTTCGAATAATGGGGCAGTGAACCTTTAAAGGAAGCAAACATGCTTCAGAGTCCACTGTCCTCCTCCTCGCTGTGTGGGCACACACAGCTCTGCAGGGGCACAGCTCTGCAGCCCTACACCCCACAGGATACCCACACCCAACCTGGCAGCCAGGGGCTCATGGAGGCCGTGTCCCCCTTCCCAAGGGGACACACAGCAGCAGGACACAGCGGGTGACCACAAAGAAACCCTCACACCGCTGTGAGCCCGGCTGTGAATGCCAACCACACCATTTCCTCCCTGCCCTCCAGTGCCCAGGAAAAAGCAAGTACAAAAGCCACCGTTTGGGAGGAGAAAATAGATTTTCTAGTTTCATAACCGCACACTGTCAAGCTGGATTCCAATTAAATCTTTCCTGTGCCCTAACACAAGCTTGGCTTTTTCCAGAAATTTCTCCTGGCTTGAAAAGCTCACTCCTGTGCCCTGCTCCTGGGCTGTACTTCCTGATACACCAGCTCCAGCTCCACCACTGCTCCCTGCACTTCTGCAGGGACCACGGGCGCACACAGTTGTCACACAGAGCTCTGAGCTGCCCAATCCCTCTCACCTCCACGAAARCCGGTGCTGACCAGCATTCTCTATTCAAACTCTGCGCATTTTGCATCTGAAAGTTCTTTTCATGCAGGGAGATTTAGCAGCAAAGTGGGAGCAGGCAGCACTCAGGTACTTCCACCCGCGGCTCTGCGCTGCTTTTAACCCCGGCTGAGCAGAGCCGGCGCAGACGTGGGGGGGAGCAGGGTGCTGCGAGTCTCTCCTGCTCCTTCTACCACAGGGACCAAGGACTCCTGCCGCTGGATTTTCCCCCCTCCATCAGTGGTCTCTAACACGATCACAGTATGCAGCACAATGCTTTAAAACAGCAAAGCTTCTGGAAAACCCAAACAAAAGGAACGYCACCAGGTGACGTCAGCCTATATAGAGCCCTGTGTGGTCGCAGCGCATAAGCAAATCCATTCTTGTACCGCTTCCCTGAAAAGCTTTTCAGTAAATGCACTCATGCTACTACAGGAGCTTCTCTCAGCAATAAGCCACCCATCTGCCATCAACAAGTTAGGACTAAAGGAAGCCACAGCTGCGGAAAAAGAAAACGTGAGCTTCAATTAACCAGCTGAGCAGCCACGGAGGACGAAAACTAGTATTAAGATTCAAAAATTGCAGACCTGTCAGAGGAGATCAAGGCAGCAATTTCAAAAGGAATATTCCAAGAGAGCATCGTGGATTTTGCACTAATATCAAGGGACACTAAACCCAGTCAATTATTCAAGGCTGTCTCACATTAGAGCCTTTCACAGACTCACGGCGTTGAGTCTCGAACTACGACTGAATGCACCCTCCAATGTACTCAAAAGAATGGGTAAGTTCCTGCGTTTCTCTGTTCCTTGTATAATGAATGACGGCTCTGCTTTAAAGGAGCAGTTAAGATGCTAAAGCTGATTGCTCTGCACTGAACCTTATGAAAAAAATGTTTTCCGATAGTGCTACTGTAACCCTCCTTAATTGAGATAAAGCCTCCTCCTAAGTGTAATGTCCAAGTATTCGGTTTGTCGTAGTAAGTTGTTTCTTGCATTTAGAATTAGCTTGTTGGAAATGCATGGCAATGTTATCTGCAGTGAAATCTTCCACCGTGATGTTCCAAGTGTACTGATAAGGCTATCCTATCTTGTTGTTTTCCTAAATTATATTCTGCAGGCTTACATTTCAAGTGGCCATTAGGGGCTCGTATGCTGGCAGCACTATATGCAATGAGTATGGTTTTAAAAATGCTGCCTGCCTTGGGCATGGCTTGTCCACCAAAATGTCGCTGTGAGAAGCTGCTCTTTTACTGTGACTCTCAGGGGTTTCACTCAGTGCCAAAMACCACTGAAAAGGGCTCGCTAGGTTTGTCACTGAGGCACAATTATATTTCTGAACTTGAAAGGGATCAATTTGCAAGCTTCAGTCAACTTACTTGGCTTCACTTAGATCATAATCAAATTGCAACAGTCAGAGAAGATTCTTTTCAAGGACTGTATAAACTTAAGGAATTAGTCTTAAGTTCCAACAAAATCTTTCATTTGCCAAACACAACTTTTAGCCAGCTGCTTAACCTGCAGAATTTGGACCTCTCTTTTAATCAGTTATCCTCTCTGCACCCCGAGCTCTTCTACGGCCTTCGCAAGCTACAGACCTTGCACTTGCGATCCAACTCCCTGCGGACCATCCCGGTCCGCCTGTTCTGGGACTGTCGTAGCCTGGAATTCCTGGATTTGAGCACAAATCGCTTGCGAAGTTTGGCTCGCAATGGATTTGCGGGATTAATCAAGCTGAGGGAGCTTCACCTAGAGCACAACCAGCTGACAAAGATTAATTTTGCTCACTTCCTCCGGCTGAGCAGCCTGCACACGCTCTTCTTGCAGTGGAACAAAATTAGCAACTTGACATGTGGGATGGAGTGGACCTGGGGCACCTTAACAAAGCTCGATTTGACTGGAAACGAAATCAAAGCCATCGACCTCACYGTCTTTGAAACTATGCCTAACCTTAAAACCCTCCTCATGGATAACAACAAGCTCACCACTCTGGATTCCAAGATCCTGAGCTCGCTGACATCCCTCACCACCGTGGGCCTCTCCGGCAATCTATGGGAATGCAGCTCAAAGATCTGCGCCTTGGCCACATGGTTGAGTGGCTTCCAAGGTCGGTGGGAGCACTCCATCCTCTGCCACAGCCCCGACCACACCCAGGGAGAGGATATTCTGGATGCAGTGTATGGTTTTCAGCTTTGCTGGAATTTATCGACTGTTGTCACCCCYGTGGCTACGACGCCGTACACAGCTCCAACCACCGAGTACACGAAAAGAATAAGCTCTTCTCATTTCCATGTGGGAGACAAAGAAATTCCAACTACGGCAGGCATGGTCGTTACCACCGAAGAACAGTTCCCYGAGCCAAACAATGCCATCTTCACTCAGAGGGTAATTACAGGAACAATGGCTTTATTGTTTTCTTTCTTTTTTATCATTTTTATAGTGTTCATCTCCAGGAAGTGCTGCCCTCCCACACTAAGAAGAATTAGGCAGTGCTCAATGATTCAAAACCACAGGCAGCTCCGATCCCAAACGCGGCTGCATATGGCCAATATGTCAGACCAAGGACCCTATAACGAGTATGAACCCACCCACGAAGGACCCTTCATCATCATCAATGGTTATGGACAGTGCAAGTGCCAGCAGCTGCCCTATAAAGAATGTGAAGTATAATACCTACAGCCCATCACAAAGTAAATCAGATAAGTAACCTATTTTAAAATTGTAGGGACCTTCATCAGATTCTAATTTTTACAAATGTTGACATAAAGCCTAATTTTCCAAGCTACTTAATGGAAACATTGTTTATGGAGTGGTGCAGTATTTTTAAGTTTTTTAAAAAATAAATCCATAATATTTTCAGTGTTAAAGAAGCAATGATGACATTAAACTTGCACTCCTAATGTTTAAAAGTCTAAAGAGATGCTCACCTCAAACTATGTAAAATGTTTCATGTTATGTAATTATATGACTGTGTGTAAACATTTATACCTGAGTCTCCATATTCTACTTTTTCTACTGAAAACAGTCCGAGGGGAATGATATTGGATGTCTGTACAGGGATCTGTAGGGGACGTGYGCTCTGTCTGTTCCACTGCAGCTGGAGGATCCCAAACACTGCAGCTGGCTCCGGGCACTTTAAGGGCAGMCCAGAGGAAGATTTTCCTCCTCTGATCGTTTCACTCCAGTAAAGAAAGGGAGGGAAAACCAAACAAACCGAAAAAAAAAGAGCAACGAAGGTTCAGATGGGAATTTCAGTGTATTGGGGTGAATTTATTTGAAATACAGTTCGGCTCTGTGCATATTCATAGCTTGGCTTGCTGAAAGGGACAGCAGGCACAGAAAGGAGCAGTTCACAGGGGCACACAGACATGGGCACACAGCCCCAGGCAGGATGGGCACACACACACACACACACACACAGCCCCAGGCAGGATGGGCACACACACACACACACACACACAGCCCCAGGCAGGATGGGCACACAGACATG